CCATATCTCCCGCTCGATCCAGCAGCCAAGGAGATGGCCAGATGTGAGCTTGGATACCTCCCTTTCCATGTTGCTTGTGAGAAGCCCCCCTCCCCGAAGGCAAGAGATTTTGAGACTTGACGTCCGATTTGAACGTTCTTCGGCCGGTCATTTGCCAACCTGTTTGTTTGGTATATCTCTGGGCTCCTTCTCTGGCCTCTTCCCTAAGTGCGGAACCAGCACCTCGATCCTGCCAATGATTCGTACCTTGGCTATCGACCATGTTCTCGATCATCAAATCGAAGTTTCCTTAGGTAGCCACCGACCTACAGTTATCCTAAAACTTTCCGTGCTTGGTGGAGAAGAAGCGAACGAAGGTATGCTCGCTTGTTGTCTTGTTCTCTGTCGCGGACTGGGATTGCTCACCTGCTAGGCTTGGCTCCTGAACCGTACGTGAGCCACCTCGTACCACTCTTCCTAAGAAGGTCTCAGCCCCCCTCTATCAAAATAAAAAAGCCTTCGCTTCGCCCTCCTATTCAACGGGGCTATTAGAGACTTTGTCGCGCACCTTTGGTACTTCAGTAGGGCATGAAGATAGTGACTTATTTCTTATGGTAGGCGAGGAAGGGCTACTTCAATGACAAAAACGTCAGAGGGTCTCCTTTGAAAGCATCAGTGAAAGTTGTTGGTTTTGTAACTAGATTCAAGAATCTAATTGCTCAAGTCTGAGTCTCATTCTTGATAATTGTCTTTCTGTCAACGAACTTCAAGTCTGAATTGTAGTCGATCGGAAATCTGGGTTTTTTGGCTAGCAATCAAGCTAGGTCCTGATCGAGCAAAACACAGTCCTATCTATCTACCTCTCCAAATACAATATCTTGCTCAAACAAGAAAGCAGGAAAGAAAGAGTTTCCACTCTTATATCCCTTAATCTCTTGCTGAACCACCTTCTGCTTGAACTGATCATTACATAATTGGGAATTAGGCACAGACTTCCATGTAAGAACAAAAGTTATTACTAATATGCTTATGCCCACTTTGAATGAATAGGAGGGCAGGGCCTACACTTATGAATCTTGTCAAGACGCCGTCAACACCTTCAGCTTTTCAGTTTACCCGCCTGTCTGGTCGATCGTTTAGCTGCTCTTTCTAAGAGATGTGAATGTAAATAAAAAACATCCCCTGGGAAAGCCTCATGGCCTGGTGGTCCTAAGCTTTTGTATTGGAAAGAGAAGTGCGAGGCACATCTTCTCGATAGGCGAGTCTTTGTTCTCCGCATCCACCATCATGCGTGAAAGAATATATGGTCCTTTCCTGCCTTTCATCATCATTTTTTGGTCGCAAGAAACCGCTTTTAGAAGGTTTGGACCAATCACAATTCATTACCATATGACCCGCTTCCAATCAATGACTGGATAATATATAAGTGTTGTGTTTGATTCTTATTGATGGCACCGTAGGAGATGAAGTCTTCCACCTTCCGGAACATAAGACTTCAAAAGTTGCCTTTGAGAGATGAATTCCTTTTTTTAGGTCATCGTATAAATCTCCTCTTCCCGTCGTCTTGTTGAATGCTTTTGCTATACCATTTTCTTTTGGATAGTCTATCGTTGAATATCTCCAATCAATTTCGTGCCGCTTGACGAAATTGTTGATCTTCATACTTCTTCATGTTGAACTATTATCGGATATGATTCGACGAGTACGTGGAGGAACGAACGTGTTTGATCTACTATAAACATTGCAGAGCTTGGAGCAAACTTGTTGGCAGCGCGACAAAGGACTTCCACCGACGAATCACACTATAACAGATTTACATCAACTAAATCAACCCAATCGAGGCTTCTCCTCTTGGGCTCAGGAATAACTTCAAAAAAACCATTTTTGCTTCGGTTTTGGACCTTTATGAAGAAAATCATTTCCAATTTGTCAGTAGGTGTCAACCTCTCACCGCCTTAACTCAAAAGAATGACAAATTCGTGATGCGAGATGCATCGTCTTATCATCTGTCCTGCCTTTTTGAATCTTCTTCTTGTCTTCCTTGAAGGTTATAGCAGACAAAGAGTTTGGCTTATCTCCAGAAGCCATAACAGAGCTGGTCGGGTCAAACTTCCTGGACAGCAGGCAAAGTATAGTTCCTTAGAAAACAAAAAAGCAATCTCAGATTTACTTCACCTTAGGTCTTCATATGAGACATGGAGTTTTGAAGTTGAATGAAGAACACTCATGAAGCAAAGAAGTTCGAAATTGGGTTGCGGAACAACATAAAAGAGTTGATTTGGTTGAGGTGAAACAAAGTTTCTTCCGTTAAAGACCCATCACCAGCAGCGAGACTAGTGCTAGCATCCTTGCCAAAATCATCATACTTGAAATTTCTTTGAAAAGGCGCTAGTTAAGGGTTGACGTAGTGAAGGGTAGACCGTCTGGAAAAAAAAAGGCAGGGTTGGCCAAAGTCTGAGTTCATCTTAACATATAAAATACAAACCAAATCCTATTTTTGTCGAAATTGAAATGAATAAGATACCAATGGAGTAGCCTGATGAATACATCGAAGATTTTGACTGGTGCTCAAACCTTTTCTCGAGATATCTTCCAAACTGTTAGGGTCGTTGCTCCATGTTTTCATAAGGAAGCCATCGAATGCTTTCCACAAATTGAGATTTGCCCGTAGAAGGATCGAATTTTATCTGAGGAACAGGAGGATACAAAAAAGTAATAAGAGATCTTTTGATAACCCATTTTTTGAAAAACACCATTTTTGGGCACGCGACACACGAAAGATTGGATTGCCTGAATCACGAGTCTTATGTACTGTGTTACGATCACCGCATATTGCTTTCCTCTTCTTCGTCTCTGGCTTGGGTTCAAAAAAAGTGTAAAGAAAAGCAATGATTCACAAAAAATGGATAGCTAAATCAATGATTGATGTGCTGAGAAAAGAAGAGAAGAAGAAAAAATTAATAAAATTTTGGAATTCTTTTTATTATTTTCTTTCAGTTGAGTTGATCGCCTCGCTTCGCTAGTTAGAGTTGTGCTCTTCCTGAGCTACCATTTTTTATAGGTCAGTTTGGGGCTAGTTATATTTAGTTTATTTTCCCTTCCATTTTTCTAGAAAGTCTTCTAGAAGATTGGATTTCCAGACTCATCTGTGACAGTATGCCACATCAGCTGTCCGGCAAGATCCATGGCACTGACATTCTCAAAGTCAACTCAAAACCTGATTTGGCTAAAAGGACCTATTATTCTTATTCTAAAGGACCATTGAAGCTCAGGTGAACCGGGCCTACTACTCAACATTGATTCTCTTGAAAGTATGCGCAACGCATATCGAAAAAGCCATGTTGCCGATCATTAATGACTGGTTCGAACACACAGGAGCAGGGTTGAAACCAAGAATTTTTTTTTGTCTTTTCTAACTTTCATTGTTCACTCTCCTGCCCCAGCTAATCCCGGGAAGACTGACGCGTACTGAAAGAAAGGGGAGTAAATGATGAAGACTAAAAAAATGATTTAAGGTGGTCCCGCGTCCAACCACCCCTTTTTTACCAGGGAACGGGAGAATTCCCACTACTGCTGGCAGGCCAGCCGGGCTGTGAGCGCGGTGAGAATGGGCTTAGAGAGGTCGATTCTTTGAGATCCTTCTTTTCTTCAAACAGAACGAACAGAGATAGAATCAGATCGATTTCCCTTAAGATCATCTCGAAGGTAGAAGAACTCTTCCAGCCAAAATGATTTGGGTGGTATTCGTGGGTCACATGGAGAAACATTCCCACTCTCTTTGTTTCGCCGGAAATTATTGCCTTTGTGATTGTATCCTCGCGATATAGTTGCGATTAGAGCTAGCTTAGAAGACAACGATGGGATCGCAGTGTACATAGACCACCAAAACTCTCATCTTTCTCCTCCTTCTGCTCCACTCCCACTCAGGAGAGGTGCTTCCCGGAGTTAGGGCTGTGTGACAACTGATTAGATTTATGTAGGTAGAGTTTAATAAATTTGAATTTAGTATATATCATAAGAGTTAAATCCGAAAAATTATTTGTGAATTGCTTTAATCCGTTGATCCAGTTAAATCATGTCATGCTACTTGACAACTTTTGTGAGCATTTAAAAGTTTGTTATAATTGTTAGAATAAAAAAAAAGTATTATTTTATTACTATAATAAAAATAACATTTTAATTAAATTAAATTAAAATATATAATAATTCTAATTTTGCTAATTAATAACTATTATTTCACTTAACTAACTGATTATTAATTTAAAAATAATTACAACTTTATTATTTAATAATAATTTGAATTAATTCTGCATTAATTAGCTATTAATTATATTAAATATATTAATTACGAATTACTTAAATTTAAATTCTTTCTATTGATTAATTAACAATTAAATAATTATATCTAAAATTTTTAATTATTATTAATTAATATTTTAAAAATTAATCATTAATTATTACTTATTTAAAATAGAAAAATTAAATTAAAAACCTTCCCCGCTCTGGCTGAAACCCTCGCCCTCTCCGCCACTGAGACCCTCGCCTACTTCAACCCCCATCTATTGAGAAAATATTTGCGTACATAAGACGTACGCAGCGCTGCAAATGTCAAGTGTTATTCAAAGATAAAAGGGGTTATATTCGGGTTATACCCCACTGTAACCTCCGTGTAACTTCCTTGTAACCTCCGTGTAACTTATTTGTGCCGATTGAATTATAGAAATACGAAACTCATTTATAAATTACATGTAGTTTATAAAAAAGTTACATAAGAATTACAGTGAGGTATAACTCCGATATAACCCGTCTACCGCCTGAGTAACCTCTTCACGTTATGTAAGCAAATATTTACCCCTCAATTGGCTTCCAGTTTCGCCCAGACCTATCTCCTTCGGGACCGAACCCTGAAGATACAGTTGCAATTAGAGATAACTGGGCAATACTACGGGATCGTGGTGTACAAAGACCAGAAATTCGTATGGTTATCATCTTTCCGCCTCTGTTCCTACCGAATGGTAACTTCACACCTTCCTTTTCGAGCCAAAGCCCGTCCCGTATTCACTAAATGTTAGATTAAATCCAGGTTAAATCCACCGATTTACGGGGTTGAGTTAATCCGGGATTTAAGGGCGAAATCAGTGAAATCCGGATTTATCAAATATGTGGTTTGATTTTGTTCAGAATGACTGTCTGGCAAAATTTAGGTTAAATCCTGCTCTAAATCTGTTACCAGACAGCCCCTAAGTGAATTAATGTCAATGTTTTTGACATAGGCAGTGGTGATGATGCTCAGCTATATTTTCGTTTAACGGAAAGTAGTTAAGGTCACTGCTTTCCTCCTACAGTCTATAATGGCGAGGCATTATGGATGGGCTTAAGAGGCAACCGGTGCAGCCGGCATCTATTTTGACCTTTTAGGGCTTCAGTTAAGTGGTCCGAGTGAAAGCAAGTTCTCTACTTTAAGGGGCTGTTTCTGTTTTCGTGGTACGACATTCTTTTTTTAAAGATTTTGAGGCTTTTCATCTATCTATTTTGCCTCAGAGGGCACAAAGAAGCTGTTTTGTTGGCATGTTTTGGCTGACCCGTAATAAAATTTTGGGAAATTTGCATCTGCAGCGCACAATTCTTATATATTTACGTATCTCACACCTAAATTTTCATATTTACATACATAACTTTGGTGTTCGGTTTCTACCTGCCCTTCAAGTTTAAGATGGTGTTTGACTGCAACTTAGATTTACCTTAAATAGGATTTATCTAATACGGTAAATTTGGCTTGGTTTAAGATGGTGTTTGACTGCAACTTAGATTTACCGGTAAATTTGGCTTTTTATCAAAACCACTATGCAACAGAGGAGTTCGCGAGCGCGACAGAATAAATTCGCCTCGCAATCAGGTTTATGCAGTGTTTTGTAATTGGTAGCATACCATTAACAGGATCTAACCATGTATTTAACTTAAATCTGGCCAAACATTTTAAAAAATGAAAATTAAATCCAACTTTCCATTAAATTGAATTTTCTCGAGTTCCATTTTTTTTTTCGTGTTCCGTCTGTTTCACGACCTAAATCCTGATTTAATAAGGGGATTTATTCAGTCTCCTTAGCACCTCCGTTTGCGATCGGATTTGATACATCCTATTTAACTTAAATCTAATAAGTTGTAGACAAAGATCGCCCGAGTAAACCTGTTATTTATTTCGTAAAAGAAAAAAAGAATGCGAGAAAAAAAAAGGAACTTGAGAAAATTTATTCAGTCTCCTTAGCACATCCGTTTCCGATCGGATTTGATACATCCTATTTAACTTAAATCTAATAAGTTGTAGACAAAGATCACCCTAGTAAACCTGGTATTTATTTCGTAAAAAAAAAGAATGCGAGAAAAAAAAGGAACTTGAGAAAATTCTATTTAACTGTGCGTTGGATTTAATTTTCATCTTTGATTTGCAAAATTCTGAGTGCAGTCAGTTTTATAGGTTTTAAGAAGCTTCACATTTTTTTTTGCCAATTTTTCTTATAAACTACTTTTTTCCAGCATGGTCTCGTTGATTTCCTTGCCTGTTTTTTTGTCGTGGTGGATTTCTGGAAATCAAGTAAGAGTGGAAGGGCAGAAGACAACCTTTTGGAATTAGGCAGAACACAGAATTTAACCTCACTGGTATACGAGATCCATATTTACACAGCTTATTAATTACTGCTTTTGGCCGACCTGAGTATCGTGAACTCATGACAGTGAGCCAACCTTGTTGCCTTACTTGTTGCTCCCAAGATGTCTGTAAAATTTCTTATTCATTAGTCTAATAGTGTTGGAGATATTGTGGCATTCACATATCTTTTACGAGTGTATCACTCTTTTTTCTATTATGTTTAAGAATGTATGAGGGCACTGATGATGATTTGGAGGGTTGCAATTGTGTGCAACTGACCAATAATAAAATTTATATGTTTCCAATGGTGATGGATGTGGGTTCTAAGGATGGCCTAATGATTCTTCGGCAACCATTTTTGCTATGAACAGTTGAAAGCTTTTTTATTTGTCTTATTTTTTGGATTTGATCTTCATCCCGGCCCTCATTTTGTTCTAGGCTTCTCATTTTTTTTCTTATTGGATTGTAGTCCTTTCGTATAATCTCTTTTATAAAATTGCTGCAGACGTAGTTTTTCAGTGGTATGAGAAAAATGCATCTTTCTGAGTAGCTGTTTTTAGTTCTATATTAGTTTGTAATGAAACTCCATACTTAGTGGTGTTGGGGATTTTTCAAATCAAGCATGAAGGCTTGTTGCGTATCCCTTGAGGATTGTTGCATTGCTATTTTATTTAGTAAACCAACTAAATTTTTTTTAGTGTAGCCAATGTCTTTAAAAGTACACTTGGAAGCACACTTTACGCTGCTATGCAAAGCAATATGAGGTGATGAAGATTGTTAAAAACAATTGACATTTTGGCATGCTGGAGTCATTTTCTCCTCTAATAATGGTGATGATGTATCAAGAATTGATTGGTGCTCCTCTAGCAACCTGCTTAGCATTATGTTTTTTTTGAAGCTTTATTTTAGGGATCAGTCAGAAAGCTGCTTCGTTTTGTTATACGGTGGATTTCAACTATCATTTTTAAATCTTGTCCTTTTGTGCTACTTTGGATTTTTGCACCATATTATTCAGTTAAGGATTTTACCAATTATGAGTGGTTGGCTCTTATATACTTTTGAAAGATGAGGTGATTTATGGCCAAATACCATCAAATCTCACGTAATTGATATTTCCTTTGGTCAAATCTATTCATTACATGTGTTTTTAAATATCAATGATTGGCGCATATTTGCTTGAAAAAGTGTAGATGTGTAGTTTTGTTTTTAAATATTTGCAGATCTTTTTGTGATTCAGTTTTCCCATCCTTATCCGGGAAAGGTAAGTTATCAAGGATGTTCTGATGTCCTTATATACGAAACTAATGCCACCATTTTTTCCGAACTTAGGGCTTGAGCTGAGCGTACAGAAATAAAGCTTCTTGTTCTTCTCTTTGATGGTTTTTAACTGTTACCATAATGTGTGAAAGCACTGCGCTATTGCCATGACAAAGGGAGATCTAAACGCCTACTACAATGTAGCAGATTTAGCATTCATTATAAATTCTTTATTTGAAATTTGTTGTTGACATTTTGTTCTACATTGTCATCATGTGGTGCAGAAATTATGCGTGGGAAACATTGCTCTTGACCATAATATTTTTAGGTTGGGTTTAGACATGGGCGATAAGGTGATTTATAATGCCTCTTTTAAGAAATTTCTTCTTTGCACGCATGATTTAGTTCTGTGGCACTTTGATGAATTATAAAAAACATAGGTGCATAAGAGTGCTGTATCCTCAGATCCCATTTCCAATATTAGAGTTAGGTTTCTTCCTGCATGAAAATTTTTCTGTGAGTGCGGCTTGCTCAAGCTCGGCTCGATAAAGGGCTCGTGAATTGAGCTCGATGAGCTACTCAACTCATTATCTCGTGAACCGGCTTGTTAAAAAAAAAAATTAAATATAAAATATATTTAAAATATATTAAATTTGAAGAATTTTTCTTTTAAGTATTAAAAATGCTTAAAATAATATTTTGTATTTTATATTAAGTGATTTCTTATTATTCATTTCTTAATTACTCATTCTTATTGTCATTTTAATATAACACTACCTTAAATTAATATTATTTTCTCTCTTTTATAATAAATAAATAAGATGGGTAGCTGTCCAGCTCAAACTCATAAACTTAAGCTCGAGCTCAAGCTCAAGTTTAGAGTGGCTTGAGCTTGGCTCAACTTGTTTATATCCCTTTACAACTTTGTGTTTGGTGTACTTTCTCGAGCTAAGTGCTAGGGATGTATCTTGTTCGAGAACTGTTGGTGGATCTCCCTCTGCAACTGTGCCTCTTCGAAGTGGCATTTCGTGGTTCAGCCCAGACAGTTGTTGAATGTCTTTATCCCCTTGGAAATGTCTTTACCAACCTATTTTCATTCCTTTGCTTAAAAAATATCACCGTTTGTGTTCGGCTAGTTTATATTTCGAACAGTAAAAGTGTGTTCACGAACAAAATTCGTTTTGACAACCCTAATCACAAAACTGTAGAATTAAGTGCTAGGGATGTATCTTGTTCGAGAACTGTTGGTGGATCTCCCTCTGCAACTGTGCCCCTTCGAAGTGGCATTCCGTGGTTCAGCCCGGACAGTTGTTGAATGCCTTTATCCCCTTGGAAATGTCATTCATTTGCTTAAAAAATTTCACTGTTCGTGTTCGACTAGTTTATATTTCGAACAATAAAAGTGTGTTCGCGAACAAAATTCGTTTTGACAATCCTAATCACGAAGCTGTAGAACATTAAGGGTTGAGGCAAGATTTAAATCCTATTGTTTATATTAAAACATCATAAATATAATTTAATATATTTTTATTCTATTTTTTAATTGATAATTTTAATTGATTATAAATCTTTGTACCATTTGTAGTAGCTTGCACTCTCACCTATTGTGATATTTTCGCCAGGTGGTCACCCATCCCAAGTCTGCCATTTAAGAGCATGCTTAACTTTGAAGGTTGAAATTCTTTGTGAAATTCCAACTACTACGCCAAAAGCAGCTTTGATGCTTGAGAGTTGAACCTCTTTCTACTTAAGGGGTTTCATAGTTCCCATCTTTAGGTTGGTGTTATGCTCAATACTATTTGTAATAAACCGAACTCAATAGAAAGGCCCTAGTCATTGACAGCAATTAAGACTATGGTGATATGTGGCGTGCAACTCTATGCTGCTGTTTTTTTTTTTTTTGCTTTATGCCATGGAATTTGCAATGGCAAGTATGAAGATTCATTTATAGCCAATCTTTCAGAATACTTGGCTGCCTCGTCAAAAATGCTTTGCGATTGTGCTTGATAAAAATTTGTTGATGTCACATCAAGTATATCCTTTATTTGATTTCTTATATGGCATGGCATGATTTCACTAGAACCATTTAGTAAAAGAATTTTGTCAGTAAAATGGATGTGCCGGAGCCCAAGTTTTTATAAAGAATGTGAATCTTCCTTGGTAGCACATTGAGGTCTATTATTGTCCATATAATGGGGTTTTGTTGGACTTTGTTGGATGCATGTGGACAGCTGAAGCACAGATTTTTCTCTTCAATCTGCATACCAGAACTAATCTGCAGGTAGGTTTGATGATTAATGGAAAATCAAAGCGGTGAATGAATATGATTTTGTCATTCTGAGAATTTTGTCAGTAAAATGGATGTGCCGGAGCCCAAGTTTTTATAAAGAATGTGAATCTTCCTTGGTAGCACATTGAGGTCTATTATTGTCCATATAATGGGGTTTTGTTGGACTTTGTTGGATGCATGTGGACAGCTGAAGCACAGATTTTTCTCTTCAATCTGCATACCAGAACTAATGCTTTGAGATTATGCTTGATAGAAGTTTGTTCATGGCACATCAAGTAAATCCTTTATCAA